TGAATAACCATGGGTCCCAGGATGTTTATACTTTGCAAGTTGCATCCTGAGATGAAAGGCTATACAATGTGTTCAACATAATGACTTTGTTCGACTTTCAATCACAGGGGTGAAATGTTAAAAAAAAAATAACGGTCTTTTGAATGAATTTTAATCATAAATACTGATATTTTGCCTGTAGCTTTATTTTAGATCACTTTTAAGGTTACAAGTGTGAGTTTTATACCAGGTGAGCGATGCAGGCCCATTGGGCCTCTTGTTTAAAATATTCTACTATCTCAACCTTCCATTACATACATGTAAATGGGGTCCAAACTTTTACCTGTGCTAAGGGTTTCCTTGTACTTACCCTGAATGTAACAGGTTGTGGCTCTTCATAGTTAAACTGGGCCCCAAGGATTTTCCGCTGTGGGTTGCTCAGTGCTCCAATGTTTGCGTAAATAATCTGGACGTGCATGCCAGTCGTCACCGAACACGTCGGACCATTGATAGAGGTGACCACCTATAATTGATCAAAAGTGTCAAGTTAGATTACATAAAAATGGACTCATTCTCCCTTCTTTGTCAAAATTGGAAATTTCAAGCACGTTTAATGGAAAATACATTTCTATTTCTGTGGTTATTACGTAGAATAATGAAATAGCATTGTAAATTTGTTTTGTCTTTTGAAGTCGGTATCAATTCTGAGAAATAATGTGACTGGCGATTTTTGTTTGCCATTCAAACATTAGACCAGTGAAAATCAGCATTGTTGGATGTTTGTTAGTTCTGTGTATCGCAAGGGTTGTTACGATACGTTACGTATCACAATACATGGGTCACAATACGATACGTATCACAATGCTTGTTACAACTTTCTGTACAACCCTGTGTTTGTATTCCATGCTGAATTTATATTTTTTAAGTTATCTTTCTCCTAAATTGTATAGCATTTTTATTTTTGAAACAATATTTCTTTTGGGTGGTAGAACAAGAAGAAATGTATGCGGAAATTAACTTTGCGGGATTGGTTAATAACATCTCTAAAAGGGAGGTAACCTGTACATATCACTTTTTTAGAGTATCAAATGCCATGATGCATCAGCACTCGAGATATATGATACAATATTCCGTCTTTGCGTATTGCAGAGTTATCTTCTCTTTGAAGCAGGTGTTGATTGTTACGTCATAGGTTTGTGTGAGAAAATTACATCGTTTTCTCAAAAATTGATGACGTTACTCTCACAAATCCCAAGAGAAGATAACTCTGCAATACACAAAGACGGAATACCGATGCATTGGTGAATTGTTACACCCCTATTGGAGAAGTATCTGTAACAGTATTTGTAGAGAAGTCATCAAACAATTAGAAATAAGTGAGTATGAATAACTTCATCAGGTATTACTCAATTTCAAGCTAACATTTAAAATTTGACTTAAGTTTAAGGATCCCTGTCCCACTGCACTTTGAATTTTCATATCTACAGTAACCTCCCCTAAACTTCTGTTTGGACACAACTGTTGCACAGTTTCGCCCGTCGCTTTCGTTGACCAGTTAGCTCAATCGCTTAGAGCGATAGTATAACAATCTGAGGACCAGAGTTTTTACTCTCAGAACACTGTTATTGATATAAATTTTGTATATTATTTCATATTTATTATTTCTCTTAAAAGTCTTGCAAGTTATGTTTTTATGTCAGAAATGACTTATCGAAGCTATAGTCATGCCGAAAAAAACCAGTTTCCAATACTTTGATACAGTTTTGGGCAACAGTACGGGGATCCTTAATACTGGAGTGAAACCTGTTTGTGTGAAAGACCACATTTCATTTCCAGATCAGATCAATGAACTTTACTACTACATCCTGAATCAGAATCAGTAGCAAGAAACTACCAGTAGACCGAAAACAGACAGACGATATTTGAGACATCAAGTTTGTAATTAGGAAGTTTGACTTTCGAGTTTCTGAACAAAACCCCTTACCTGTGCAGCTGTAGGTGCATTCCTGATGATGGGTACCCAGTCACCCGTGACGAGAGGGTCCGAGTTACCAAATATGGCGACAGATCGGTTACCAGGTTCATATATTATCCCGTCTAAGCCCTCCAAAGCATTTATAATTTGCTGTTCGATTGCGGTACAGTATTCTGTCACATTGTCATAGTTGAATCTGACAAAAGATGATAGAGGTGATCTATATAATACTTTTCAAAATAACCCATTTTTAACATATTTTGCTACAATTCTGTGTCACATTCTTATGATTAAATCTTTAACATACATTCAAATGTGTTAACTGGAAAATTATTTATTTTCATCTCAAAAATAAAAATAAAATCCTTTTTCCACAAACAAAATGTTAATAATTCCTTCCAAATAATATGTTGATGTTAAGAATTAAGGCCTGCTGCCCCATCTTTAGGATCCCAATGACATATCTAGACAGGGTGGTTCCCCTCATTTCATTTACTTGTCACCACCATTTTGACCTGTGTCAATTGGTACAGCTCAACTTTTTGTTTTGTTTTATTAGGAATTTGTTTGTGATATCCATTGTTAAGTCCTTGATCTGCATCTACATTCTTCCTCCCACTTTGCGGCAAAAACCAGTCCAGTCCTGACATTTCTTAAAAGATACTAGATAACAAAATATTCAGTAAATGGAACTATAAAAAGGAATACTATTGATCTGTATAATTCCTTGTGTGGATTGAGACCTGCAAAGGTCACACCGCCTTGACCTTTATTACCCAATCTATAGGTCACAAGAGCCTTTACATTTATTACCCAATCTGAAGGTCACACAGCCTTGACCTTTATTACCCAATCTGAAGGTCACACAGCCTTGACCTTTATTACCCAATCTGAAAGTCACACAGCCTTGTCCTTTATTACCCAATCTGAAGGTCATACAACTGTAACCTTTATTCCTAAACTGAAGGTCACATAATGGTGACCTTTATACCTAATCTGAAGCTCACACAACCCTGACATTTTTTTACCTGATCTGACATCCTGTCCTGACATCCTCCCCAAAGTTCACCTGGAGTCGGTTGGCAGAGCCTGTTGCACAATCACCTGAGCCTGTTGACTTGACAAGTGTCAAGTCGTATGAACTCTCTGATATGGCAAAACTGGAACAGAGAGGAATTCAAAAATTTGTATTTATATAAAATAAACAAAAATAATGAAACACACTTATCTCAAACTTTTCCAGGAAAGAACCCACTTAGGGTGTTATGTGGTAAAAGTTACTTGTTAGGATTTGACCTTTAAACCCTTGCTTATTTTTCATTATTTTACAGTGTGTGAAATAACCACAATGACTGATGTCCGATATTTTTGTTTTGTGAGGCTAACATGTTGATATCATTTCTACAGACAATTAGTTCTGACCCATTGGTATGTGTTGTTCAAAACCCTTGATAATTTATTGTTATTGAACTTCTACCCAATTATCTCTAAGGCCCCTTTCCCATATTAAGTTCAACCCGTTGAACCTGAAAGCAAACAACAGGCGCAGATCTGAACCGAGGCTGACATCAGGAATATTCGGCATGTGTAGATTGAGGGGTCAGGATGTGCCTGACCAAAACTAAAATGCTGACTATAGCTAGTTTGCGTTATTTCTTTATAAAACAAGGTCAATCCACATGCAGATTTTTAGTTAGGTTGTATAATTTAGTGGACGCGTGAAAGAAGGAGCTATTGTTCTTGATAAATTGTTATTTATCCTGGGTTTTTTTGGTTTTTTTTTAGCTCTGTCAGCAGTTTGGTCGAAGAGGGTTCGTTTATCGTGGAATATTTTTGTGCCACCTGAACCGTTTCAACCAGGATACATGAATGCGACCTTACTACGATCTTTTCCTTGTTTCACTTTAAACATCTGTTTTTCTATTTAGGACTTACCTGGAATTTCCAGCGATGTTGAAGCGGATACCAGCCCTCACGGGTTTCCCCACCAAGTATCCCGGATTTCCACTCTTGGCCGACACATTTGTCTCTGATGCCTGTGATATATCAAATATGATTCCTTGTATGATATTTATTATCAATTCCATGCAGTATGATTCTTTTCGATTTAAATCTATAGGCTTAAATCTATGTACAACTATACCAGTTAGCTTGTTCAGACAGATTGTAAGAAGCATATCAACGACAGTATGGTTGGTTGGTTGGCACAGTGGAATAATGCACTCGCCTTTCACCAAGGTGGCCGGGGTTCGATTCCCCAATCAGACACCAAAAGCTATGGGGTCACCTACCCAACGTTATGGGTTTTTTCTCTGTAAACTCCAGTTCCCTCCTACATTAAGACCCCCAGTGCACTACCATCCGGGCAAACAAGAATGATAAATATAAGCTGATAGAATTTGTTTCAGAGTTGTTGTGAAATTATATGAAATTTATTTTTATGGATAATTACATTTTTTCTAATGTTACACACATTCCAAAATTATACAAAAATTATGGCCGAGCCATATTTTATCCAAACACTGACATAACACTTATTCTTACCCTTGTGCTATATATACATTTACATATAGCTATTGCATGCACGATTGAACAAAATTGTATTCTTGGGGAACAACAATCACTTCACAAAGTCAATAGTGTATATATGCTTTAATAGAATACTTGTACTTGCTATTAACAAGGTAATGACATATATGCTGTCTAGATTTTATTATCATTACTGCTTTATACATCAATTAGCGTGTGACAACAACATTTACAGTTTTTATCAATCAGCATAGCAAAGAAGTTCTAGACTTATAGCATTTTTTTTTTATAACACACCATCCTCACTTATGTTCTCAGCACTCTGGAATATGCCGCAGCAAAATTGAAGGCTCAGTGTGCGCCAACTAGTGGATGAGACAAGAAATCTAGTTTGATCCTTTGATGTACATCAAAAGAATCTCGCGGTCATGTAACGGTAAAATTGACAGGCTTTGAAGTTGAGTGTCACGCCTCTGTATTTCAAAGGACAGGTATCAGCCTAGCGATTTGATTAGCTAGCTGCTTGCCTTCAATTTTGCTGTGGCATATCCCAGGGGTGCAGAAAGCAAAAGGTAGCATAACCCCTGGAGTATCGCAGATGACAACACTTGTGTTATACAAATGTGTATTTTTGTGGAATGTGTAGCTAAAAACACCATTGTTTTAGTATATCTGTGATATCATGTATACAACACTTGCCTAAATAAAGTACACCTCAGAGTGAGGTGTCTTATCAATTACAGTCATACTTACTCCTTCAAATTTAGAGCTGTATCTCTGAGTGACAGGAAGACTGGCCAGGTTGATATTCCCTAAGGTCAGTCTGACCCTGGCAGAGGTCACAACCTGCTGAGTCTCGATCAGGAATCCAGGCATGTCGGTACCATAATCAAGAATATACTCCACCTGAAAGTAGGCCAGATTGTCTTGAACACCAACTTCACTGTTTATACAATGATCTGATGCGACCATTGAAAGTAAAATTTACACCAATAAGCCAATATGATCTAGTTCAAAATCTGAACAAAAAAAGTACAGGTGATTCATTTTGTTTGTAGCGGAACTGGACTGGGTCGATCATCGAGGACCAGGTAGCTCAATTGGTAGAGCGTCTGTCTAGAGTTGGGAGGGTCCTGGGTTCGAACCCAAGTCTGGCCGCGCATTTTTCCTCTCCCGCTACATGTTTATGATTTAAACTGAATCCTGTATACTGGGAAATGTTCGCCCTCTGACGGCAAAACCCGTCTTTGCCCAATATTTAATTCATCCTTCACATTTCATTACCATTTATTCCATGTTGTTGACAAAATTTCGCTGTAATGATCGATTCAACTTCATTACGGAGGGCGTAAAAGGCAAAAATTAAACTGCAGCGAAAAATTTCCAGGTATAATACAGTACCTCAGAGCTAGCAGTTAATTTCAAATGCCTTAAATGCCTAGCTGAAGCTATATTTTCATTTCCTATTCAACTGGTGCTTAATTATCCATAATCAATTCCTTAAAAAGGTCTGCAACCTGAGCACAAAGATGCTACACACACTGCCACTGAAGGTCAGATGAAGTTCACTATTAAACTTCCGAGACAGTGTTTTACAAATCCCTTACCCCTAGCACGATGTTACTACAGATGCTGGTACTGGCATTGAAGGTAGGATCAGGAGTACTTCCACTGGGACAGGTTAAGGCTTGTCCATTTACATCCTGGCACGTCACTGAGTCCACCGTTATTGGAACTGTGTACGTGTTGTTGTACAGATCCACTGTTTTAAAAAAAAAAGTGATTAATTTTACATTTTTGAAAATTTTAACAAACTTACTTTAGAATTGTGAAAAAATTATAATAATTATCTTTATCGAATTGCATGCAGCATAGATTTCAAATGTCATTATCTTCATGGTAAAAAATATAAACATGTATACAAACAACTGATTAATTAAACCAGATATATTAAAAAAAGTTTACAAAAGTTTTTAATGTTTTGTGATCTTCAGAACAAGTTTTGGGGGTACAAATAATCTACTAGTCCACTTGTGATAACCATTATCAAATCTTCTGCCAACTGGTTGTTATTTTAATAATATGAACAACTGAAGTACTTGATATGTAGCGCGGTCATAGATCAAAACAGTGGTATATCCAAGATAGCGGACATATGTGAACAGGGGGGATACTCGGAATAAGGCCCCCTCCCTACTTTTAATCAATCTTTTTTCACCAGGTGTGGGGGCTTATTTGAGGTCAATTACAAAATCTAATAATAAGATAGATTTAGCAATGTATACAATGTCATTTCGGTGCAATTAAATAATATAAAGCAAAACAATTGTCAAGAAAGGCCACACGTGAATACTGCTGTCTAAAAACCAAAACCTTTTCTGCAAAGAAAAAAAAACAATAAATGTACAAGCAAACTCACTCATAACCTGACAAGGTTGTTCTTTACTGAACGTTTGTTAAAAAGAATGCTTGTTAATTTACAAAACTATGAATAAACCAGCCAAATGAACTGAAGACAAAGACAAAATGTTACTTATAAATATTTCAAACGCAAGACAAGCAATGTTTGTTTTTATTACTACTGTAGTAATACACACAACACTTGGGCTATAACACAATTATCGTTGTTCCTACAATTGTCAAAGGGGTTCAAGGTCACAATAGCCTTGTTATAAGGGTTTCTAGGTCATGATAACCTTTGTCATAGAGTTTCCTATTCACAATAACCTTGTTTTACGGGTTTCTAGATCATGATAACCTTGTTATAAGCATGCTTAGGGCATGATAACCTTGTTATTGAGGTTTCCATGTCACAATAACCTTGTTATAAGAGTTTCTAGGTCACAATTACCTTGTTATAAGGGTTTCTGGGTCACAGTAACCTTTAAAATGAATTCTAGGTCACAGTAACCTTGTTAAAATGATTTATTGGACAAAACAACTTTGATTTAATTAGTCTTTAAGCAGGTATAGGATGAGACACACACACACAAAATAAAGCAAGAGGCTTAAAAAAAGACTGAAACAAGTCACAGTGGCATGGTCATAAGGTGAAAAAAGACCACAGTCTTGTTCAATGGTCCCATCAAAATGGTTGTATTTGGTAGATTAAAGATATTGACATAGGCATTAAAACTTTTGACATAAATCTAGCCTAGGAGTGCCTATATAGCGAGTTTAAATCCTTGGAAAAATAAGATACTGTCTAGCATAGATTCACTTTTCTTGTGGTTTAGGAACCAGAAAATATAACATGGAAAAAGAAGCAGGAATTGGTATAGTTACAGCAGAAATCTGGATACAGGAAAGGTTTCAGCAAAGAACAAGGAAGGAGCAAATAGGATCCAACTTGGTTACAGCAGCAATCTGCATACAGGTAAGATTTCAACAAACAACAAGGGAAGAGAAGTAATAAGGTTTGGTTACAGCAGCAAATAGGATACAGTCAATGATCTGCATTACAGCTAGCATCAATCTGGACACATGTAATATTTCCAGCAAATGCAACAAGGAAAGAGAAAGTAGGATAAAATTATTTGGTTACAGCTTCAATCTGATTACAGGTATTGATCTGGGTTACAGCGAGTACAAATCTTGTTACATGGTTACAGCAATGGATTTAGTTACAGCAACCTGGTTACAAACCTGGGATAAGTACAATAGGTGTAGTTGGGACAGTGGGAGTTGTGGTTACGTTGTCTGTGAATACAAGGTGGATATAGACAGTTACAGTCATGCATATACATGTATATACATATATAGGAATTCACTCATCAACAAGTGATACAGGTACAATACAGATTTAAGTGATAGTTAATACAGACAAGGTTATACAATCAACTGTTACAACAAATTATTGTTACATGCTTCTAAAACAAGACAACTAGTGCAATTTGTACGAATACCAAGTACAAGTAAACATTAATAAACATGCAAATACACAAGTAGTAATAATCACAATATCATATCAAGAACTATATATGATCATCTGACTTTATCAGAAATAATGTAAATTTGTATAGTATTAGCTTGTACTTTATGTTATAAAAAGTAAGTACAAGGTAAAGAGAGGGAATTTATGTAGTTTATGAAAGTATAAAGTAACACTATTACTTATGGAAGTATAAAATTATTCTGTAGCTTATATTATTGAAGTATAAATTTATTCTGAAGCTTATATTATTGAAGTATAAATTTATTCTGAAGCTTATATTATTGAAGTATAAATTTATTCTGAAGCTTATTGAAGTATAAAGTTACATTAAAGCTTATTGAAGTATAGAACACACAGAATTTGTAATACAAATGTATAGACAGTTTTGGCAAATGCAGTTCAACAAGAATTTTACCATCCTTGATACTCCAGGCATTACGCTCAATTATGCTCTCTGCACCCCTGGAATGTTATTGTAAAATTGAAGGCTCAGTGTGCAGCACTTTGTTGATGAAACAAGAAGACTGGTTTGATCCTTTGATGTACATCAAAAGAATCTCTTGGTCGTGTAACGGTAAAATTGACTAGATTTGAAGCCAGGTGTTGTTTCTTTAAAATCTTCAAAGGACAGGTGCAAGCTTAGTGATTGGTCAGGTTTTATTTACCTGAGACCAATCAAATAGCTGTCTTTGTGCCTACAAATTTGCTATGACATATTCCAGGGGTGCAGAGAGTGAAAGTGAGCGTTACCCCTCGAGTATCGAGGATAAAATTTTACAGATTGAGCATACTAAAGATTGAGCCTTTTACAAAAGGTTTCTAGCGATAAGGAAGAACATGGTCCAAAAGATATTCAGTTCCAGATAGATATAACAAACAGGCAATATTAGTGAGCAGGCATACATCAACTCATCACATCTCTGTAAAGTTAAACTTTGCTTTAAGAGTTCTGGTTTTGATATCATAGCAGTCATTAGCAGAATACAAAATGTTCAGACAATAGTAAAGAAAGAAGTAGAATTTATCAACAACTAACTGACCATATCCTTATTTTCCTTCTTAAGAATCAGTCCTGATTAATTCTGTGAGTTAAGCATTTACTGGATTAAAATTTCCCTAATTCTTAGGTACTTAGGAAATTAGTTTGCTAAAGCAATCATTTGACATAATTTGACATTGATTCAACAGCTATTTGCCAGAGGACAAAAACATGTTCTACTTCATAATAATCAAATCTTTCATTTTTCAAATTTGAGATAAAGAATATTTGGGCTTCACAAATATAATAAAAATAATTGCACGTGCTGAATAGATTTGATTGTTTTGAAAAATAAGAAGACTGAGTTGAAAAGAATTTATATATAGTGAAACCTGTCTAATCTGATCTGATTATGTTGACTTCCTGTCTAATCCAACATAATGCTAAAATCCTAATTTTATGAAATCTATCAAATAGGACCTGTGCATTCTGACATCAGGTGTTTTATTAACCCTTTCACCCCTATGTTACTGTAGTAGACTCTACCGTGCATTGATTTGGAGGGGTTCATTATGGTCTACAGTGGTGAAAGGGTTAACCTATGAGTCAAAAACTATTTTTTTCTCTCTCTCAATATGACTCATTGATAATTGATGAAAATTCAATATTTTTTCGTAGAATAACTCATGGTTTTCAGAAATGACTCGCTATGTAAAAAAGGTAGATAAAACACTGTTTCATCCAGTTTAAACTTATCAATATGTTCTGTAACCAAGGAGATCAGATTAGTCAGGTTTCATTGTATATGTACTTAACTCATTCACCCCTGAAGACACATTTGAACTCTTCCAATACAAAGGCTGGAACAGTTCATTATGAAATTTCAGGGGTGAATGGGTTAAGCTGTCTGAACATCTGTAGCACATCGCAGCAGGAATTAGCTATTCTGGCAATATCTATGATAAACATATAACCAACCTGTGGTGTTCACAGGGGAGGTAACTGTACTGTTATCTATAGGGATAAACATTTAACAATGTATGTTAGTCAAAATATCTACAAAATTCACTGAAAAGTAACAAAAAGCTGCTGAAATAGGAAAACCTTGCAATTCGCATAAATCACAAAATCCTGAAACTGTATGAACAATTTTAAACTTCTACAAAATTTTAATCACAAATATATTAAAAACAATTTGATTTAATTGATAATTTCTGGTTCATATCATTTAAAAAGCAAGCAAACTAGAAATTTGCATGATCATGAATACACATCTATCTACAGATCTGCATTTTTATGAAATCGAACAAATGTTTTCTGGGAGCAACAAACAAATGTATGTAATGCATTATTTTCTAGCCTCAAATTCAAAAACAAACAAAAATTGTTATCCTGGAATTCAAAAATCACAAAATTGAATGACAGTGCAATACAAAATATACACAATATTTGTTCATGGAGAAAAGATAGCCACTTGCTAACAGAGGTATACAGATCATGTCAACAAAATACAGTAAAATAACTTTCATTTCTAGGGGTTAATTACAATTGTGTAATCCATTAACAGTTGTATTATGAGATTATAAAATATGAATGCTGACTTGCATGATAACTTTATGATTATACATAGACACTACTGCCTAAGGACATTTGAAGCTTTTGTTTTAAACCGCGTTCTATTTTTCAAGTGCTCAGGCCTTTAAAAAAATATTTTTTATTTATTTACTAAAATTCAGAAAATAGAATCGCAAAATGGCTAACTCATAAATCTGTACAGAATGAATGCTGATGCTCAATATTTTGTGAGGTGCTTTGTAATGTTACTTGGTTTTATCTAAATACTTTAAATTTGGGGGAAATAACCTTGATCAGTACAGATATCTCTTCAATGAACTTGCAAGGGTTAATCTATTAATTATATTCAATGTTATATCATTATGAATATTCATAACATTTTGTGTACATGTGGTAAACACCAGTGAAAGTCATTTCTCAAAACACAGTGCAAGGAAAGAGGAAAAGGACTATAGACAGATAGTGCATGACCTCTTTAATCTTGATGACAAAACCTGGTATCCCTTTTCTGAACACTTAAAATTATGATATTGTTTCAAATAGGACCAATAATGCGTCAAATAATGTGCATTAATTATCCAAATGGTCATTTTAAGCAATTTTTTGAAAAATGATAATACACCAGATAGGTAAAACAAGGTGATTTTACGTAATTATGAAAAAAGTTTTACAATGAATGCAATACTAGGGATTTTTTTTTTAATCCAATGAATCCTAGAAAATTGATACCAAATCCTGTATCTAGGATTAAAAAAGTCCAACTGCACCTTAACGACCCCTGTCCAACTGCAGGCAAAACACTAGAGAATACCACCATAGATTATAGTACAACAGTCACCATCCTTCAATTCGTTTACCCCTGAAATTTCATAATGAACTTTTCCAACCATTAAATTGGAAGAGTTCAAATGTGCCTTCAGGGGTGGATGAGTTAATTTCATTTTGGATGTGATTTTGCCAGGGTTCTTCCATTGACCAAATAGCTAAATAATTTCAAATTCCTTTTTTTCACTCTAAAACTGATGTTGATGGGTTTTTTTGTTCATTTCATCTTTATTATTCATTTTTCATTAGAGCTCTGCAAGGTTTGTGCTTTACGTCCTAGTTATTAACAGCTATGGTCATTTAAGGATGTGCCTGGTTTTGGTGGTGGAGGAAACGCGGAGTGTCAGGAGAAAAATCACGGACCTGCGGCCAGTACCTTGCGACTGCCCCATGTAGGTCTTGAACCCAAGACCCAGTAGTGGAGGGCAAGTGATCGTAGATGTCAGATACCTTAACCACTCAGCCAAAGCGGCCCTTTTCAGAAATGATTTACTAAAGATATGGTCATGCTGTAATTCTTTTGGCAGTGGTACAGGGATCCTTAAAGGTGCTTAAACCTGAAATTGATTTCAGTGCAATCTGTAATGGTTACATAGACACAAGTAAGGAAGTCCAGAAGAGGGTAACTGTGCAAGGAATATATGTATATAGTGTATAGAGACAACAAGTGTATATATACAGACAACGGATGTCTGCCGTCCTGTACCTGTGGTTACAACGGTCGGAGTTGTGGTGACCACTGTCGGAGTTGTTGTATTTGAGTCAGCTGTTGTAGCATTGATGTCAGTGGTGGTAACGGGGGCTGTAAAAATTCAAACTACTTACAACAAACACACGCACACAACACCAGCAAAATTACAAAAAGATGGCATATACACCATCAATGAAGGAAAAATTGAGTGTCAACTCTACAGAGTAAAAACTAAACAACATACCAAAACAAAATATTGCAAAGTTATTTTTTACTTATTCACCCCTGAAATTTCATAATGAACTATTCCAACCTTTGAATTGGAAGAGTTCAAATGTGTCTTCAGGGGTGAATGGGCTAAATACGTAGCAACTAGATGGTGAAGCTTATCATTACTATAAAAATATCAACAACACAGATGAACTCCTTTCAAATTAATAGCAGAACTGTAACATTTTTTTTCACAAATCCTAAATGTGCATGTGACAATGCTGTCAATATGTTCAATTTTATTTCACATTGTGATGTCAAAAAGCATGCCGACATGCACATTTTAGAGCTTGCCGTCCAATGTTTCAGTCCCATATCTGACATGAAAATTTCTACTAAACCAAAATCAAAGCAATAAATGACGTATGAGCAAAGCAACACGAAACATTGACATTTAAACAGTCAGTGGGGAATGCCATTCCAAACAATAATATAAGCTTTTATAACTGTCGGTTGTATTAAACACGTACACAACATTCTACAGTGAAATAAATCAAAATTTACAATACTTAAACAAATCACAACATTCAACAACAATACTCAACTACTTTCCCATACCCCTGACTCGAGAATCTCACCAAACGTTACCAAAATATGGCCTCGATTTTCCCACTTCCATTTATAGGTTGTTACTTTAACACTGATTCAAGTTTTCCAATTTGTCAACTTTTAATAATGAGTCAGTTTTATTTGATTTGTATTCTTCAATTTAACATCTTTTGATTTGTTTCAATGACTTTCCTTGTTCGAAGTTGGGGTAAAACATTTGTAACCTTCATGATCACTATAACTTCCCTATTAAGATATTATACTCTAATGTACTGTGAAATCACAAATTTTCGTGGGGTTTATAATTTCGCTGATTCCGTGGGTAATCTTCACCCACGAATTCATAGGTCCATGAAGTAATTACAAGTTTCTACATAAAACCATTCTCTGTACGAGTGGGCACTCGTAATCAACAAATTCATGTACCAATGAAATGGTGTTTATTTTTGGGAAATCACAAAATTTGGGCCCCACGAAAATATCTGATTTCACAGTAACTCTGTCACAGAATTTTGCAATTGACATAATGCTATCAAAGAATTCCGTAACAATTGATAATTCACGATATCTCGAAACCAGGTGAGGGACTCTAATAATGAGCTAAAATTGCTATAAAATTGCTAAAAAAAGTGGATAACAGAAGTACAGCTAACATAACACTGACCTGCAGTAGTGGGTGCGGGGGTCGTAACTGCTGGGTTGGTCACTCCCGTCTGGTTTACGATCCAGTTAAACAGATATGGGGTCTACAAGGAAAGATTTATAAAACAGTGGTTAAGAATAAATGAAAAACTCTAAGCTAAGATGACAGACTACAAGCCTTTAAAAATAGAAATGCAGTATATACCATACCTTCCAAATAAATATTGGCAATATGTTGTATTAAGTTGTAGCTTGCTTTAAGTATATTCTGTTCTGTTATGTCTGATCACTATTTTCAAATGCGTAATGCCAATGAGACCTGTATAGTAAGCACATTTTTTGTGTATAAAGTAAAACTATGATACTTACATATTTCCAAACTTATGAATCTCATCACTGAAAAAAGTATTGCTACAGTGTAACTTTGCCCCATTTATACAGAAAACAGTTTTATTCCTTTATTGAGACGAAACTGCTGCACACAGTATTATAACCCTTTCACCCCTAGGTAACTTAAGTAGACTCTACCATACATTGATCTGGATGAATCCATTATGGTCTACAGTGGTGAAAGGGATAAACAAGTATTTGACTCACAGTAACGACTTTGATCCCGGAGAAGTAGGAGGAGGCCTTCCACTGTGCAGTGTCCACACAAGTCGTGGCGTCCAGGGTGTAGATGTTTCGCACACACTCAGACGACTCATCTTCCAGGAATGCTAAAACAGGCATGGTAATAAAACATTACAAAGGATTTGTAATTTTTCCATTAAAATTTTGAGAATTTTTCCTGTCAAACACAATAGATGTCCATTTGGAATATGGTTTATACAACATCGGCCACCAATTTGGCGCTGTCCATGAGTGTAGTGAATGAAAACAATGCTGCAAGGAACCTCTTTTTCTGCATCCTCAATACTCCATATATGTCATAGCAAAATTGAAGGTTCAGTGGGCGTCACCTTGTGGATGAGGCAAGTAGACTAGTTTGATTGATCCTTTGATGTACATCAAAACGTCTCACGGTCGCATAACGGTAAAATTGACTGGCTTTGAAGTTGGGCATCGGCTTTTGTAAACTTCAAAGAACAGGTATATATCAACCTAGTGATTGGTCAGGTTTTTTTTTACCTGATACCAATCAAATACCTAGCCGAGTGCCTTAAATTTTGCTATGACATATTCTAGGGGTGCAGTGAGCAAAAGGGAGCAGTATCGAGGATGCTTTTTCTGAAACAGTGACAATACAATCTTTCAAAATGATACCGAAAAAGTGTGGGACCAATATGTGCCTAATACATAATTAAAGCTATGTATGATGATGGTTTACACGACCAAGTAACGAGCAATTAGAAAAAATAATAATGGATGGATATTATCGTGCCATAATCCATCCCAATTTGATACAAATTGAATCAAAACCTTACCAGCTGGATTGCTATCTGAACAAAATGTGGAGCCCACAGCCTTAGGGACCCCTAGGTAGCCCCTGGCCAGATTCTGATATACAACGAACACTGGTTCCCCGCTCTGAAACAAAGTTGGAAAAATATATTACCTGATACCAGTATCATTCCTAAGTAGATATTCTCAAATCTCTTCCTCTCAACTGTTCTACTCAATGCTCTTGAATTTGCTTTTAATAGCTACTTAAAAAAAATCTTGATTAAACACATATTTTTGTTTGTTGAATTATAAGTTATCAATCTGCAACTATAAAAATTATCTAAAAACAACAAAAATAAGAATGTTTTTCTATTACAGATAATATAATAATTGACATTTTGGTTAACAGTAATTTGTTATGATACTTAGCAATGCTGTGAGCTATTGGTATCATCACCTTGTACTCATCAGCATATAGTGTTTTGTCTATGGCTCCTGGTTGATAGTTGGTGTCAGCAAATCGATACAAATAGTTTTCAAATGTAGCAGTATCGGACACCAGGTCGGGATTTGTATAATAATTACGCTCTGCATCTAAAAACAAAAATAGGAAGAAATCAGTTCATTCTTTTATGTCATGTGACAAATTTGTATCACTAATCATAACAGTTTATAATTTGTTTATCGTAATATTCAAAAGACGACCGATTTTGTTTTAATACGATTATAATGGGACCACGGACTGAAACTCTTTTAATACCGACAATAACTGTATGACTTGGCCAAAGATGAGTTGCATACATAACAGCTTTCCAATGCAAAATAGTGAGACCAGTTGATTTTTTTAGTGAGTTTTGGTAAGAGAAATTCTCAGAATTAGCTAGACATTAAAACAGTGTTGACAAAATCTACCATAAAAATATAGTTTCCTTATTTTGTCAAAGTAGAATATTTCAATGGTCACAATCAAATAGGAACAATCAATGTGACGTCACGTCATTGTGAAGCAGATGTAATTTTCATCGTTTCAGGGGCGTCCAAGTGCAAAAAAAGTCATTTCAGATCATAACTATACAGTTTACTTTGTATTATATGATAAAAAGAATCTATCATTCGTTTTCCTTCATATTAGATTTATGATACTCGTTTTGTATTTTTCGAGGCTCGCAAACATGAAAAATCCAAAACTTGCATTATAAATTTAATATGAAGGAAAACTTATGACAGATCCTTTATATAAGGGCAGTAACTAGGAGATTGAAACTGTGTGTCCTACACACTCAATTGTTTGGGACAGAACATCAAAATCTGGCAGGAGTTATATGATGGAACCTTTTAGTCTGAATTAATTTTACCTTCTCTTTGAAATACTGTCGGATCATGATATGGAATTGAGCAATACAATACAACTTACAAACAATGTCAGTGGTTTACCAGCCAGCTAAATAACACTTTGACATTAAGACATTGTGGTTCTTCTGATATCATTTGAAGTTTTGACACATTTGACATCAGTGAACATGCATTGGTATTCTATTAGATTTGTAGGTCATTCATTTGAAAAAAACTAGATAGTCCCTCATCTCAGGAAGTACATTTTGTCAGTCCATGCGAAATATGGCGGTCCGACAGACATATCCAGTAAAAATTACTAACTGCCGGTCCGGCAATCACTATAGTTGTCTTGAGTCTTGTCACTTCTGAGTTTTAAATACCCCTGTAACATTCAGTGCAGTCATGCGCTACTGTAACCTGTATCAACATTGATTGTGTGAAGAATAATGCTTCGTTACGTGACTGGGGCAAACCACTGCCAAAACCAAACCCAGTTAATGTTTTAATTTAATTATTGTATACATCAACCAATTTTTGACTATTTTTTTTCATTTTCTTCGGACTGGTATTTCAAGATAACCTGACCAAAATGTCCTGTAAAAGTTGTTCCGATCCGGCAAGCTTGGGATAGTCACCTGACCGAATGTCTTGAAAGAAAATTTGTAAAGTGGCAACATATCCCAAGGTCTAGACTAAATGATTCTTTAGCAGAAGTCCTTTGAATTCTTTTGACTCCTGTGACCTTGAATATACAAGGTCAAGGTCAAGGTCATTCATTCAACAAAGTTGATGGAGCGTCATCACTGTAATCAAGGTGTCATAGTTTCTCAGAGGATGTCGTTATAATTTAATATTAATAATTCCTATAACATTTAGAAATCATTTATTGATGTTTACAAACTATTGAATTCATTGTCTATGTTTGGAATCTATATAATATACTGTATAACAGGAAAAGTTTATGGGTACTTTCCTTCGTGGTTTGATGCTATTTAGATCGTTTTGAGGTATAAACTTTCGTGGATATTCTGTATTAACAAACAGTAGACATGTGATGTGTATCATTCAAATTCGTTGTATTTATTTTCGTGGTTCGACAGCAACCATGAATGTTTTTACACAACAAACATTTTTGTCATCGAGGGAATTGTGTACAGCCCTCATTCAAATGTATCTGTGTAACTGATAAATGGATTGGATACACTTACTGTTGTCGAAATAGATACAGAAGAGTCCGTCCTGAGTGTATTCCTTGGTGTACTGTGTGTTATCTAGAAGCAGCAGTTCGGACTGGACACACATGCGGTCATCAACACTAAGTAAAAAATAAATCCCATATTAATTATAAAACCCAATTTCTGTCCGATCAATTATCTGTAATTAAATGCTTTAAATATTGTCCAGTTAGATATTGCTTTGTTACTCAGACATATTAAAGCTTTTTTTTAAATTAACTCAGACCCCTGAAGACACATTTGAACTCCTCCAATTCAAAGGTTGGAATAGTTCATTATGAAATTTACAGGGATGAATGAGTTAACTAATTCCCCCAATGCTTATGTTTACACATGATTATAATGTTTACTTATTATAACGTCACTAATGTTGTTGTTGACACACGTCTCGACGGATGAGGTCTCTATTGATTGTTCCGATCAAGGCTCACCTTTGAACTGAAACACTACAACACAATGCCTGAATAAATCATCAATAAACTAGTATTCTGCCCTTTTTTGTCCCCCTCTACGCTGGAATTAATTAATTGCTCCAATGATCAATAGGATCTCTCACCTCCTTGGGGAATCTCACCACAAGGGGGTGAATGATTCTCTTTCTCTTACCCTGTTCTCCCATTGTGTATCATATGTACATAATGTTAGGTTAGTTAAAGGCTAAATTCAGGGTTGACGTGACATTGATGCTTTGTAACTTAACGTGATGTCATTTTATTGTTGACGCGACATCATACAATTGTTATGAAAAGGGGAATTCCCTCGTCTCAACCCTAGGGTGAGACAAGGATATCTCACACCTGGAAAAGTGTAGATTCACCTGTCCAGGGTTAGAGAATAACTGATCTCTGCTTGACCAAATAATTCCTTACTGGCGCTTGATTTTACAAATCAAAATTGTACATGTTTCATTAAGACTGGCAATACTCATGAATCACAAAACATTGTATAATTATGCTTCATTTCCGGATCTTTTTCATAAGACAAAGAAAATAAAAATCCTGACAATGTTAACACATTGAAGATGAGTTATAACCGTTTAAAGAAAAGTCTTGAAATACATTCAACATCACGGTGAGACATACTTGACTGAAGTAGGGATACAGGAACTGAACGCTCCAATATCGTTTGATGTGCAGTCAGGATCACAACAGCACCTTACATCACAAGCATTGGCGGTAAGGTCACAAGGACAGGGTCCTACATCTGTGCAAAATAAAAATGAAAATTAAGTACAAAACCGAATAATTATAATAATAATAATAAAATTCAAAATATGACATTTGAATACCTCTTCTAATAGAACTTAGCTTATTATTATTGGTAAACATATAAGCCAATCAGAAGCTTTGGAGGCCATTTGAATCCTGAAACTTTAAAATCAGTTGATAACATGAAGTGTATCCCCATGTATGTGTCTCTTCAAAAACAAGGTAGAGTATTGCATGCTATCCATAACCCCCACCCCAGGGAACTTTGGTAACAAATATGAACAAAGGGCTATAACTCTGCAAAGTGGAATAAGAGAACGAAAGTCAGTATTCCCCATGCAACATTCTGTATCTGTGGTCTACCAGAAAGGCCTCAATCTTGAGTATAAACTTCCGGGTTGGAGGAGTGCATTTGACGTGATTTTTTTTATCGCCGTTATCAACCCCCACAGAATTTCCGAATGGGGGGGGGGGGGGCCCCCCCCCCCCCCCCCCCCCCCCATTTAGAGATTCAGGAGTTAGCATGTATGGACCCTCTGAACTCTATATAGATATTATACAAACTACGCTACCTGGTTGCCGGCCATCTAACCAGTTCAGTTCTGAAACAGTTTTACACATACAACACAAATAAAAGGTCTTCTGTTGGGGTTATATCCCCCCTCCCCCACTCAACATAATTTCTAGTATCAAATGCAGTCAGTTTAATTTTTGAAATATGAATAATCAGGTTACATTGAACAGGGTAATAATAACCGTATGACCACACATACATACCAGTGTTAATAGCGATTGGAGACGGAGGCTGAGTAGGCAATGCTGTTGTTGTAGTGGTCGGCGTTGTTGTGGTTGGCGTTGTTGTGGTCGGCGTTGTTGTGGTTGGAGTTGTTGTAGTGGGAGTTGTTGTAGTTGGAACTGTTGTTGTATTCGTAGCCGGTGTGGTAGTTGAATGAGCGAAGCCAATATATAGAAATAATAATAAAAACGAAAAAACATAAATCCTACAGCAAGCTCGCGCTTGCAAGTTTGCCTTTGCCGCCATGATGTATACAAATAAAGGATGATGGGAAATAATTTGTTGGTTAAAAAAATAATGACTTGCAATATTTTTGAAGAATTAACATTCACATTTTAAATTATACATAAACCTATTTATTATTGAAGTATAGAACATTTTTTATTATACATTATAAATAAACGCATCTTCTACGGAAAGGACCGAGTGCTTCCGAAGGTAGACAGCGGCAAACAATAACAACAAAGCCGGCAGGTGGTTTTTACCTAGAAGGAAATTTTAAACACTAGTGGTAAGAAATTGCTTGTGATTTGTAACAGTATGCAAGATCTTTGGCATTTCACTTATTTTCTTTCAAATAATACGACTGGTAATGGCTTTGTGTTGTTAAAAGAGCTTGATAAGGTGTCGATAACATGTGCCGCCGGCGCAAAGTTGTTGTTTTGTTGTTGGTTTGAATATCTGTTTAAATAATTGCTTTGCAATAAACTATTGAGAGTATTCTGATGACCTCTGACTCTTGGGTTTAAAGGACAGGGTATGTTTTGATTATCCAGTATTCAGGGAAAATTTCATGCCCAATCATGGACTTCTGAAATTATCAAATGACAAGGGTCATCTGAAAGCGCTGTATGTGAATCGAATTTAAGACGCTAATATAGTATGTTTACAACCTGCAAGAACAGCAGATTTTGAACGGTTGGGGTATTTACCGAAATGGACCGGAATGGAGTTGAATTACCGAAATGGAGGGAAATGGACTTTAAAATGGCATTATTTCAAGAGAATGGACCCTAATATACATTCTTCATCACCAACTGGAGTCATATGTAGAAGATTGGGCGTTTATTTTGTTTACATGCATTTTAAATTAATTTTTCAAAATAACGCAATTCACGGCACGATTTTCGTTACCGAAATGGAGGGCAATGGGCCTTAAATTGGCATTATTTCGAGAGAATGGACCCTATTATACATTCTTCATCACCAACTGGAGTCATATGTAGAAGATTGGGCGTTTATTTTGTTTAAAT